GTTGTTTTGTTGTTGTTGTTTTGTTGGTTTTTTTTTTTTAATGTTCTCCTGTTAAATGACATAACATGTGCTATTTGCACCAGGAAAGAATAAACTTCAGGGGTCTCTGGTGTGGAATTTGGTAGCTGAGCATGTGGCTTCAGGCTGTGGAAAATGTGGCTGCGGCTGGAGTTCGTGATGGTTGTGTATGGATACCTGGGACAAACTTGTCTTGATTGATGTGGCTTTAGGGTGCAGAGTGGGGAGAGACATCATTGTAGGGTTGAGGATAGAAATACAGGGGTATTTACTCAGGCATTCGCCATGTCTGTTTAGGGTAAAGCTGGAGCTCCTCCAGAATAATTTTTTGGCCAACAAACTGTCTAGGTAGTTTGTCTACACCTTTAGGTGTGTTTAACAAGTGAAGACCCTAAGATTTTTCAGGCTGACTCAGAAAACAAACCTTGTGATGTATGTCTGTCAGTCAAGAAATCTAACTTAAAAGGAGAAGGCGATTTTCATGCTTGTGTGCGTGTAAAATCCAGGGAGGTTGTGCAGGGTGACCGTGATTCAACTGTGCATGCTTTTGCTGCAGTAGTTCTGTGTTTGTGTCTTGGGATAGTTTTTAATGAAATTTAGTTCTTTCAATAAGTCAAATGGCAGACGTTACTGACTTAATTTTTTTTTATTTCTGCTGGTTGATTGCCATCTTTCTAAAGTGGCCAGATTCTTTAGCTGAATACTTAGTGCAAGGTTTTGATAGTCCTGTTTGTTTTGTGGTTTGTTTTTTGTTTTTTTTAAATCACATTTTTCTACAAGAGATGTTAATTTTTATTTATTTTTTAGGTAAAGAAGAATGGGTTATCGGAAGCAATCGGCCAAGAAGAAAGAAAAAGGCAGGAGGTACTCTTTAAAGTCACACGTTCTTTTATGATTGTTTGTTGTTTACGATTGTTGATTGTTTAGGGATGCACTGCGTGCCTGATTTAATACTTTCTATTTGTTGATAAGGAGACAAGTTCATCACACTGCTTTGTGTCCTAGAGTGAAGCGTCTTCTCTCCCGAGGGAGAATAAATAAACAAAACCTGCCTCTTGCTGATGTGCGTATGTCCCTGCCACGGGTCTCCTGCCAACATCCCACGGCTCTTGCTGGAGGAGTGGCTCCTAGGTATGCTCACTCCAGCAGACACAGCCTGGTTGATGTCTACTCAGTAGCAGCAGACAGTCACTGCTGCAGTTGCTGCTGCGTGCTATCTTGGGGAAGGTGTAAAATGAACCTTGTGTTCACAGAGGGTAGGAGGTGGCACATCAATTTTGAAAGGCAGTGAGGAGCAAAGAACAGCGTTTTACAATGCCCCTCAGTTGTAACTAATCCTGTGAGCAATTGTGAACAATTCTGAACATGTGAGCACTGTGTATCTGATGTAACTAACCTTTTTTCTTTCACACTGAAATGGAGTAAGTGCATCCATGCTGTCAACAGCACAGACAACAGCAGCAATTACTGATGTAGTTATCTTTTCTCTCTCTGTCTCTTTCCCCTTTGCTCCTTTTGTCCTCTTTATCCGCTTTCCTCTTCCACTTTGCTCCTTTTGTCCACTTTATCTGCTTTACCCTCCTTCCTTACTTACAGGGTCTATATCAAAATGAATGAGAGGTGTTGAAAAGAATAGCCTGACCTAGCCAGCTATATACCTGCAGTTCTTGAGGTATGTCCTTCAATAGGAAAAAAACCCAAGCTTTTTTGGCTAGAAACACTGTAGCATTACCTGCCACAGTAATTTGTTCCAATATTTTCATTTTGCTTCAGGACATACCTCAGTGAATGTAGCTGAGTGAGACCTGACTGGGGTTTTCTGTGAAGTTCACAGATGTGTATAGTGAGCCTCAAATATTAATTTAGCTGCATGACCTACAGCTGTTGCGTTCATACATGGAATACAGAAACATCTTGTATTGCGTATATGAGATTTAGACAATGGTTTGTTGGGGGGTTTTTTGTTTGTTTTTTTTTAATAATGCTACATTTCTTTCGCTATCTTCTTTTGCTTTTTGGGGGGAGGAGACTGTGCAGCAGTTCAGGCCATGTGTTTTGCTTTTCTGTCTCCTCCTGCTGGGAAGCTTTGAGACACAAGGCATTTATTTCAGTCATATCCTTTAGGACCCTTTAGTCTATGTTTCCTAGAGTCATATTTACATCCCTTCAAAGAGAATAAGTTCTTTAGATGCCTTTTAAATGTAAAGTCTTTAATGTTACCAAAAACGTTTTCAAGCCTGAGGGATTTTTTTATTTGAATATTAGAGGCCCGTTCTTTCAGAGGGAGCCTAAATAAATATTCTTAAGATGTAGCTGTACTACCAAGTTGTGCTTGTGCTGTATTTCTTTTAAATTGCCTTTTATCAATTATTTTTCATCTATTTCTTAAGTTGCTTTTTAGAGCCTATTAGATTATATTGTCACTGCAGAAAAATATACTTGTTTGCTTCCTACCTTGATCAAATGGCAATGTCATGCATTCATATGCATCCCACTTCCAGAACACATTAGTGAGATGGATCTCTGTGCATCTTTTGTCTAGAGAAAATGTGTCATATAGACAGACTGATTAGAACTAAATTTTCGATAGATCTTCTTTTCTTGCAAGCTGGAAACTCTGTGTATGTGTGTACAAACTGCAGTGTACATCTGGCCTCTTAAACTGTCCATCAGGATTCAAACATCTGCTTACCTTGATATCATGCAAATGAACCACAGTACAGTTTCAGATGTCATTCAGAAACACTGTTAGCAACCACCTGGTAAATGCCACCCCAGCCTCTGAATGTGGTGTAGTTACTGTACGTCAAAGTCAAGATGGCTTCTTAATCCTTTTTTTATTTTTTATTCTCCAAAATGTGTTTGGGTCATGGTAGGATGATGCTTCTACACATTAGAAGCAAAGTATCTTTCTTTGACCCATTTATTTCTGACTATGCTAATGACTTTCTGTTACCAAACTGGAAGAAGTCCATGAGGGTCCTCAGTAAAAGCATAAACAAACCCCCTCCAGAACAGTAATAATAAGAGAGCTTGTATACTTTCCTGTGTTGAAAAATGTCTGCATAGAAACCAATTAGCCGTGGAACTCCACAGCAATCGTTAGGTAAATCCTTTCTTTGTGAGCACAGCTGGGACAAGTACAGTGAGGCTGAAGATTGGAAATGTAAGTTCTGGGCAAAGGCCAAAATGCCCTTTTTAGGCATCTTTCTGCACATTGTTAGCCAAGCGGTAGGTAGATCTGCCACCAGAGTTTGGCTGACGTGTGTGTTCTCTAGATTCTTGAGGCTGATGGAGTTGGCAGGTAGGCAATTTAATGTTATTTTAAGCATCACCTTTTCATATCTTTTTGCATAGCAGTATTCACTCGTGAATAACACGTAGTATGTGGTAGCTGTTACATAGCTGCTGCTGTATCTCTCACCAGATCCCTTTAGCTTTTTAGGCAGGTAATAAGATGAAGACACTACTGATACGTACATTAGACTTCCTTTCCTTGTATGTGTAATGGCCCTGTAGGTTTTCTGTGGAGTGCAGTTGTCTTTGCACTGCATAAACCTTTAAAGCTTCAGCTAAAGCAGATTTTTTTTTTTCTTCCCCAAGAAATCCAAACCTTGTTATTTCATTATTAAAATCTCAGTTCTTTTGAAGAAGACTTTTTAGAAGGTTAGAAGGGCAAAAATAATTTTGAAAGCACAGTCTGGGAACGCTGAGACTCAGGATACCCAAGAGAAATTGTGTTTGATCAAAAGCTTACCTTAGTAACACCAGCAGAATTCACTAGACTTGAGCTCTTTGAGAAATCTTATGAACAAATGTCCCCCGCAGAATGTTCTGCATTTTTTTCCCCGGTATGGTTTGTCTCAGTGGGCAGCTGGGAATATTCAGGAAGACTGCCTTCAACCTGCCCATAGTCTCCCTTGCTTTTATACCTGGTCATGGAAGAGCAGGGTTTCTGTAGAGCACATACATCAGACCATCGAAGTGAACTCCTCCTGTAGACTGTCAGGTGCAAGACCCTCTCGCTGTCTCTCTCTGTGTTTGTAGAGGCATGGGCATTAGCCTTTCTAAATACTCAGATCTGCACTGCTGCATTTAAAGTATATATTTCTCCTTTGGTTTGAGAATGCCTAGGGAAGTTAGTTGCAAATAACTAATGAAATTATACATGCAAGTATTAACATTAGTTATATTGAGAACAAAGTTACGTTACCTCTGCTGATGGTATTATTCTGTGTTAGTAATGCCTGGAAGGCATTGATGACAAATGTGACTTGGAGCTCGTGACAAAAGGCTTCATGAAAATTATTTAATTTTTTTCCGTCTATATACGTACAAGAACTCTATTAGATTAACAGCAAATAAAGCCTAGAGAGGTAGAAGATGTCTAAAAGCTGAATAGGTTTCTATGTGAGATGTGAAAATTTCCAATGGAACAAGTATGGGGATTTCAAAGTCCAAGAGTCCATTAAAAGTTTGCTTTGTATGTCAGCCAGCTGATGGAAGTTACAGTGGCTACTCCTTAAGTGGTAGGCTGATAAAACAGAGAAGTTGTTTGTGGGAGGTGAGGGAATGTACTGGAGGTCTGCCTGGCTGGTGTCTGGTCACTAATCGCTAACGGGATAGTGGCTGCCACCCCCTCCTGTCTGCTCTGCCTCCAGGCTTCTGTCCCTGCTGCAGATAGCTCAGCTTCTCATCTGCCTGCTCCTAACTTCATGTTTTAAAAGCGATCGAGGTTATCACTGCTGATACATGACTAAAACCTGAATTTTGCAAAGCATTTTCCTTTTCTGCAGAGTTCTGTTACCCAAGAACGCTTTCAAGTAAATAACTTAGCAGCTTCCGTTTAAAAAGAGCAAAAGCAAAACTGGCTGGTCAACAGTAGTCTGACTGATATGAACCTTCCAACCAGACCACAGAAA